TTTGGGGGCCCCGCATTTTCGGATCCCTATACATCGTAAACCGTGAAAATTATCCAAGGCACAGGAAAATGCCGCGAGAGTAGTTCTCCACTGAGGAGACCTGCAAACATGCCAACATGCGAGCACCACTATGTTTAGAGCCTAGGATTTAGCACCCAAGGTTCGGCATTGAGAGTCTACGGGGTGAAGGGTTCGGTACCGGGCCCTTCGTTTCTCGAAAGCAGGTGTTGGTGTAAAGATATTTTCTATCACAGTTCCATTGGTGTAAAAACTGTTTCTATCAGAATTCCATTGGGGTCTGCAGGGTTGTGAGTGGACCTTCACATGTTATCGCTTTTCCTGCATACTCTGGTACCACCGCCGTGCAGTTGCGTGTCCAGAAAAGGATGTTACAATTCCTCTTTTAGGTACCTAACTAAACCCAACACCAGAATGCGAAGTATTGGGTTTAGGGTTTAGGTACAGGGCCTGTTGCAGCATGCAAGCCGCAGAGTATTCGATAGACAGATGGGTAGATGCACGCTTTCACTTACACATGTAATTACATGCATACGTGCTTACATATACACTAATATACTATAGGCATTAATTAACTCACTAGATACATTACATGCCACTGCACTGCACTGGATGCATACATGCATGCATGCGTACATGCATACATGCGCACATGGACATATATATATATATATATATTCATTCTGACTCACACGTCAGCATGAAGCTATGTTCATTTTCACCTCTTGCACCCAAATCCCAAACAAGAAACATAGATCACAAAACTGACACCACTATTTCAGCATTTGCTCGAACCAAACCATAACTAGGATAACAGCCGTGGAATCGAGGCCCTAACTCTGTTACCCCAAAGCTTCATGCGTGAGGAACAACATCGAATACCCCATGCCAGAGCCTTCGCTCGCAGCACGTGCGTAACACGAACCTTGAGAGTGCGGGGCGGCCAGCTAGGATTCATGACGTGCCGTGAGGAGTTGGCCTTTCATAGACATGGGTTTGCCAGGACTGACGAGGAGTTGTGGGATCTTCTACAGGTTTGTATTTTCTGCAAGATGTGTAGAATCAGCTTGCTTCAAGTTCCAGTTGACCCGAAACTAAATTACTGCCTGGCCTTTCGTAACTTAGAGTGAGGTCTTGTGGTACATTGCAAGCATGAAGTCCAAGTTCCGCAACCGGGCACCTTCGCAGCCGTGGTTGCGCATCCAGGTGCCTTCCTCCAGCTGTGCCATGTCGATCTTGCCGTTCATCGCCAAGAAATATAGAACCACAGAAAAAACCCATTGTGATACGACCAGTCCGCGTCCTCCGGGCAAGGTGAGTTCAGACCCCCGCGTGGATTGTCCATTGTCTCCTCTAGAACGAGGAACTTCCAGGCGAATGCCACATGATGCAAAAAAAAAACTTGTCCACGATCCATATGCAACGTATAAATATAATCGCAGCCCCAAGGAATGGTATTGGTAATCCAGCCGGTGGCCAGCATTCACTTAGAACAGTACCGCGCGCACCAAAACCACAGGCCTAGACACGATTGGGGGTTTCGACCGGGACAGCCGTAAGCAACACAGTCCTGTAGAAGACCCCTACATGACGTTCGATATTCTAATGCAGCGGCTGGATGAGAACACTGCGCCACTGTTGTGGGCCCAGATCCGTTGTCCGATGTGTATCGAACCTTCGAGATAACTTGGGGCTGCGACCTTGCTCATGAACCGCAGTAGCATATACCGGTGTCATCCAAATTAACAGTTCGGAGGGCTTCGTCTTCCAAACCCTACAGCCAAAAACGCCCAAATAACTTTGGAGAGCCAAGCATTCCAAGATTACGCGCCCAAACATGCCACCAACACGTTCCAAAACCGGATCACCGACCTTACCCGAGTAACGGGGTTTAGAATCCCAAACTCTACAACGCAAAATACCCTGGAAGGAACATAAACACCTTGAGTCCCAAATGTTTAACCCTAAGTCCTAAAACCCAACACCCTGCATCCCAGAACCGCAAAGGGACTCCCCTAAACCGGATGTTGACGTTTGAACCTATACAGCCTAAACCCCAAATTCTTCACCCTTAGTCGCCTTAGTCCCCACCCAGGGTGTTGGCGGGTGTTGCCGCCTAGCGTTCGAGACAACCGACTTAGCTCCACTCCTAGGAAGTGACTGCACTATGAAGGGCGCACTGGGGTGTGCTAGAGCAGCAAGAATTGAAATTCGGGCGGTCCCTAGAAGTGTTGATGGAAGGGTATGTTCAGGAATGTTTGTATAAGTGTTCGGCTTGTGACTGCTATGCTAGTCACCTTGACTCCTTGCTTCGGCCCTGTGTTGGGTTTTCGGCCAGACGGAGCTTCGCCAGTTAGTCGTCTTCGACGAAAACATCTCGGTCGCCTTCCACGCTCGTGTAGAAGCCGGACGACCTGGCTGGCGGGATGCGAAGAGGTTGAGGATCCTCTTCCTCCTCCAGCTCCGTGTCCTTGTGCACATCGGTAGGCCTTGCAATGTTTGGGTGAGTTGCAACGTACTTTCGAAGGACGTGGAGCTTGGAGCTTCACCCCTGACGGCGGCAGCCTCACCACAGTGATTCCTTGTTGCAGGGACGTGCATCGCTCGTTTCCGCGCAGCAGGCGGTCACCGCTGATGATCTTGTACAGTGCACCTGATGGGAGCGTTTCAGGGCTTCGGCTCGCACTCTGCGTTGCATCACAGACCCGGGCCCGAATCCCACTTGGCGACGATGCTCTTCGCCACCGTGTTGACGTGGGTGTTGCCGTGCTCCTGATCTGGGCTTCGGTGTTGTGTAATTCTGGTGGCTTGCCCTGACATGGCTTTCGAGCCTCTACTGCGTGTGTCTCGCCATCGACGAAGGAGATCTGCACGTTGGTCCTGGGACGGTCGAGGCTGAGGATCCGTGTGCGTCTTGGGATCGCCGCGCCTTAACTTTGGAGTCGGTGCGGACCTGGTCTTCGCCGACATGGCTTGCTGCACCCTCATACTTTCAGACCAGCAAATGATAAACCAGAGGTCGTTCGGAGCTTCTATGTCAAGCATGAAATCAGCAACCGGTTGTGCTGCAGTGGCATGGGTAAGGATGTGACAGTTGTGTCCGCACACAAAACCAACACAAAACCACGCTGGCGGCGTGGGAAGTTTGGGTATGCATGCTTGAGCAGCAGAAGCTGTTGTGTCACGCACAATGGTTTTCCATTGCTTCGATTGCTCGTCGCGCTTGTTTCTCAAGGGCTGTGCCATGCATTGCATTGGAAGGCCCGTATTTGCCATGCTGCGGGTGTATCTGATCCAGATGTCACTGTCCTCGCTATGCTAGAGCTGGCACTAGCCTTGTCTTTTCGCAGTTGTGCTCAAGACCCATGCGCCCACTGTGCTTTTGGAAGTATGCTTCGAGGATACGCCTAAGAGTTGCTAGCACTCTTTCGTCTTCAGTGTCTGTGCCTATAACCCTACAGCAAGTAAACCTCAACCCCTAAACCTCCAGTAAAACCCTAAACACTAAACCCTCCAGAAAATCATAAACCCTAAACTCTACACTCTAAACCACTGGCAAAGCCCTAAACCTCTAAATCTTCAACTCTAAACCACTGGCAAAACCTGAACCGCTAAACCCTAAACTCTACACCTCCAGTACTGAACCTAAATCCCTAAACGCGAAGCCCTGAGACTTCCCCTGTTCAGGCCACGGCTGGGGCCCGCTTCCCTTCGGGAAGGCGCCAGATCTGGCGGAGAGAAGCGAGTTTTAAATTTACTATGATATCGTACAGCTTTAGTATACTATTCTTTAATATACTATGACATCCTATACTTGACTATGGGTATGTATAGTATTCTATACTATACGATACTGTGTACTACTTTACTATACTATATCCTATAGTCTAGTACTTACAGTCTAGTATACTATACGATACTGAAAGAGTATACTGTATTATACTGTGTTATGATACAATATGGCCTTAACATTCTAAGCATCATTGAAGGCTTGGGGGTGGGGTTTAGTTAGGGTTTACGGTTTGAGGTGTATGCCTCTTGTGGGCTCTGGGTAGGATAGGTTGGTTAAGGTGGGGTTGGTTTCAACGCCTTTTTGTTAGGTCCATCCCTCGACCTCTCTACTTCATCTAGCTCAGACCTTGTGCCGATGCTAAACCCACAACCGTCAACCCACAGATGATAAAGCCTCAAACTACACCCCAGCGACCTAAAGCGTTAGACGTTAAACACCAAACATTTGCACTCTATTACACTATCCCTGAGAAGGCACAGCAAACCACAGTAAACACAGCAACAAAAACAACACTCACCCGATACTTGCTGCTGGAGGATGTTTCTCGATGCGGCACGGATTTCGAGCTTGAAGGAACGACTGCCAGAACCCTAACCTGAATCACCAAAGCCTAAAATTCGAACCTATAAGTAATACCCGATACCCAACATCACTAGCTCCTTTACTCCCGGACCTCCAGCAACAATGGTATACTTAGAATACAGATTTAGGAGGAGGGGTCTTATGATGCTACAAGAAAAAAGCGGACAAGGGGATAGTAACATTAAATGCTCTGACACTGATGTTACGGAAGCCCCGAGCCGCCGGGACCCAGAGCCGCCGAGACCCAACAGCTCAGCACGCACTACACATCACTCAACCCTGAGCCCTGGAACCTAAACCCTGAACCCTTAAACACTATGTAGGTTTAAGGTTCGGGGCTCAGGGAATAGGGTCTATAGGATTTACACACCCTATCCTCTAAACCCTAAATCCTAAACCCTGAACCTTAAACCCTAAACCCTGCACGCCTCAATGGGGTGCACGGCAGCTGATAGACTCAATGAGGATCGGGCTCGGAGGCAGTAGACGTAGAGCACAGAAGGCACGGAATGAGCGGTGCGAATGCGGCTCTTTTTCTACACTGGCAACCCCTGCCTGTGATCCAAAGCTTTGCAGACCAACCTGCGTCGAGAAGCACACAAGTGATTCAATCACTTGCATGCCCCCCATTCCCCTGGGTTTCAGGAGTCTCATTAACATTATCTGACACTTGAGTCTGGTCAAAAGGCTGAAGTCCCTCTTGACGTCGTCGTCTTGCCGAGCGCATAGCTGGGTCCTCCACTATCCGCCACATGAAGCGCATCTTGTAGTAGAGCTCGAGTTCCTTTCCGCCCTTCTTGGTGAGAGCGTTAGCCAACTGAGCTTCTGAATGCACCCATCTCACTTTCAGATTAGTGGACATCTGGGACTCCTTGACGCTGAGCAGTTCCAGATTTGCCTTTTTCTCTGCGCCCTGCACCGTTAGCACCTCGGTCCTCAACTTGTCGTAGACGTTCCGAGAGTCCGTGATCAAACAGCCGTCCACCAGCTTCACGGTCTCAGAGGGTGCTTGCAGATTGACCTTGCCAAACTGCATCTCGGCCCATTGGTACCGCATGTAAAATAGCGAGTCTTCGCCATTCACTGCTGCTTGGGTTTCGGCTGAGCCCGGGCTGCGGCAACTACGATCAATCTTTGTGGAGCTCCATGACATGGGGCTCACTGCACACACTGCTCCCTGCAGAAGCTGCTTTGACGAGGCTCCTATGAAGACGCCTTGAGTACTTCCTTCGCGGGCCCTGTTCTTGTTTGCAGCGTCAACCCAGGCATAAAACTGCATGTCCTCATCCTTATGCCTGAAAATCTGCAAGAAATGGTTCTTTCGCTCTTTAGCATGCTGGAGAAGAAGATTCGCTTCAATGATCGTCTCAACTCGTGATTCACACACAGCAGACAACATCATGCTCACCTCTGCTGCAAGATGCGGTCCTGTCTGCTGGGCAAACCAGCTGAGTCCTCCAAGCAAGGCCCTGAGTTGGGTCTTCTCCCACTCGGTTGTCTCGGCCTTTCGGTCCTTACGCCGTGTGGCGTTGATGTGTATCTCCTCGAGGTTCGAGAGGTAGTGAGGTTGGGAGAGGGTAAATCCGTCACTGGTAGTTTCAATTTGCACCCCACATTGAACGAATTTGTCCTGATCCCAATCTCCCCATCTAAACTTCTCTTTGATCAAACGGATAACCTCTTGCCAACCTTGATCCTCCTCGGAGCCCCCAAACAGAAAATCGTCCACATGACCCGTCACCATTCCCCTTAATTGACCCTGTGGTCTCCACATCCAGGCGCACGCATCACTCCACAACCTCGTAAGGCCGATGGACTCCAGAAACTCAGCTATCGTCCGATACCACTCCAAAGGAGCGTCAACCAGACCGTAGCAGGCCCTTTTTAAACGCGTGACCGTGCCTGGTGGAAGGTTCATGCTTGCCAGGATTTCATCACATGGTATACAGAACAACTCACTAGGGTACTCTCTTCCTTGAAGAAATGCTCCCGTGATGTCCCCTTTCTGGATTCGCCAATGACGGTTGGCGGCGGCTTGTAGGAACAACTGTCGGGTCTGCCTCGACATAACCGGGGAGGTAGTGGATCTAAACTCGTAGTTTGGGTCCTGGTATCCAAGCAAGATGGCCCTGGCCTTCGGACGGACACTCCCATCGTCCTGAGTCTTCCAAGTAAGTAGCCACCTCATACCAATCGCCTGATCTTTTGATGGCTTCAAGTGGTCGGGAAGTGCCTCGAAGGCCTGGGCAGCAATAAAGTTGCGCACTTCTTTTGCTTTGGCCTCCTGGAACTTCAAACGGTCCTCAGCTGATAGGCGCTTCTCGCTTACCTCCACGGCTCGCCTTCGCAATGCTCCCACAAAGTAGGCTTGAGGATTGTTCAGAAACTTCTCCCATCCACGATTGCTCTGGGGAACCTCAATCTCAATAGCCACTGCCGCCTCTTCTTGGGCCCAATAGCAAGTTTCCTCAGCAGCCCACGCGCTCTCAGCTACTGATGCCTGCCACTTTTCTCCAGAGAGTCCCGCCTGGCGGGGTCCTGGAAGCTGTCCGACTCGTCGGATACTGCTTGGTTGGCTGGGTTCACCTGCCTCTGGGTCCTCGAGGTCCAAATCGTCATCCGGTATTGGTGCGGCTCGCTTGCCGCGTATCCGGGTCCTGGGTGGCGACACCTCTTCCTGAACATCTTGAGCTCGCTGCCACTCCTGTTCGGATGGAACTTCGGCACTAATATCTTCATACTGGCTGCCACCTATCTCCTCAGCGAGCCTCGTATAGGTCCACGGTGTCTGGTCACTCGTGGCCAGAGACTCTACCAATTCCTCCCTTTGACTGGCAGGTCTCAGCTGCTCGGGGCTACACTTCATAAGGTGCCGCCCACGCACTACCCACACAGAGTGGGCCGGGCGTGGCTCATCATCTGCAGACCGTCTGGTTTCCATGGCCAATATGCGTGCAGGCCCCAAGAACCGACCTTGCGTTGTATTGGGACTGCGCTTCCCCCGTCCTGACTCTTGGGTGCGCCAGAAATAGACGAGATCCCCCGGGTGGTACAGGTGGCTCCGCCTCGTCCTCGAGTTCACTGCCCGAGTCACTCTCTGCTGTGCTTGCCACTCCACTAGCGCCTTTTCCGCTGAAGCCCGTAGCTCGGCCTCCTTCCGAAAATCTTGTAAGGGCTGATTCAGAATCACATCGGGAGGCTGCGGTCTTTCAGAGTGGAGGTGTCGTCCCGTCTCGTCTGGCGCGCTGCCCAGAACATGCTGGACCGGGGAAAATCCCCTCACCAGTTCTCGTTGATTGAACGTGCTAATGGCCAAACTCATGACTTGTTCCGCAGACAAGCTTGGGTCTTCCGCACTGAGCTTCGTCATAACAGTTTTTAACCCTTGAATCGCATTCTCCACTGTTCCAATCTGCCAATGTGCTTCCCCGGGTATGATATCCAGATATATTTCATTGCGATCACAAAAGTCCTCTACACTTGCCGAGCGGAAACTGCCTGCCGGATCGAGCCTCAACGCTCGGGGCTTCCCGAAGATCTGGATCCAGCCTTCCGACAGAAAGTTCAGGCAAGTGGCGGCGTTGGGGGTTTGCTTGTTGCCCTTGGTAAGGATTTTCGCCACTCTAAAACGAGATCCTTCATCAACCACTATCATGAAATTCTGGGTTTCCCCGCTATGGGGACAGTTCCAATGGCCAATGTCGGCCGTGATGGTGTGAAATTTGGGAGGCAATGGTTCGAGGGACGCCAGCTGTCTCGGTTGGGCTTTCTTCCGTTCGTGACATATGGGGCACTGAAATTCTTCGGCTAATCTAAGAACTAAGGGGTCCACGTGACGACGCTTGAGGGCCTCGACTAAGTTCTTTGTGCTTCCATGTCCCGTAGCCGCATGAAGAAGATACAACTTACGCTTGATTTCTTCTTCAACCTTGCTTCCCTTCTTAGCCTCCTTTCGAAACACCGCACTGACCTCAACCTTCGATTCCTTCTCGTGCCACTGGAACCCACAAGCCTTCAACCACTGAATCTCCTCAACACTCAAATGAAGAACCCCTCTGCTGGTGTAACCCCCAATGGTCACTCTGTGACCGTGCCACGGTTGCGTGGCATGCCACTTCCGGGCATCGAAAGTCACAACCTGGTGTCGGGTCCGTCGTAGGTGTCCTGACTTGTACTCACCTGTGGGTAATTGGAGATTACAGGAAGGGTGTTTGGGATTAGTGCTGGGGCCTTCAAGCCACATTTCTCCATGTTGATATGGAGTCACGCCAATCAGATGGTTCAAAGTATCGGGAAGGTTGTTGACGTCCCTATGCGCTTGCATTTGACAATTGTCGTTCACGATGACACTGCTACATTGAATGGTGTCCTGGGACCAGTGCTGCAAATACTGAAGGATGTATTGACACGTCTGGGGCAGTTGTCGGGTAATCTTAGTCACTCCGTAGTGGTTCCCGTACGCATAAACACCTAGAACAAGGTACCTCGGCTTAGCTTGACTATGGGCTTGCCTGGGTCGAGGGTGGTCCTGGAAGGGCAGTTGTTTCACGAGTTCTTCGCACTTCTTGTGACTGTAGTTATGGGCCTTTAACAACTCTTGAGCCTGGGCCTCAACGTGGTTCACTCTCTCCTGAGACACCATAACCTCAGCTTCCTTTTCCAACATGCACTCCTCCGAAGTAACCTCAGGCTCCTTGTCACCTTGGTCGATAACCACCTGGGCCTGCCCTGAAACCTTTTCCGAAACCCTTTGTTCTCTCACCCCTTGAAGATCCCGACGGCCCACAAGACAATTTGCACACGTTCGAGGATTCCCGGGCATGCTCACTTCTCCACACGTACAAAACTCACCCCCTCCGAAGGCTTGACACAAGTAGCTCGAACCCTGACACTCCTGGAGGGTTTCCACGTGGCCCATTTCTTGAGTCAAAACCCTGGCTATTCTGTGGGTCAGTTCAGAAGTGTACCCATGAGCACCATTCTTAAAGGATCCCGTGCACTTGCCATGAAGGTAGGACTGGGGACATCTACATGGGGCCTCAAGGTCTTCAGCGAGCCTTTTATGCGTAGTCAGAATTCGCCATCCCCTTTGAACCAACCTCTTCGTAGTCGAATCCCTCAGATTGAACGCACAACCGCTAGCCACCGCCCTATACAACCCGTATTTCTGCTGGAGATTGTTCAGCAGAGGAAGCCTCCAAGCATCTGAGCGGTCGGCCAATTCAAAGGTCACATGTATACCCTTCTGCACCGCACTGTGTATCACGCAAGCGCATCCTACAAAGACCCTCGTGGCATGCCTACGCTTCTCCTTCAAGGCTTCCACTTGTTCCTTATTGGCTTGGTTCGGGCCCTGCATGGGAGAGAAGGGTCCACTGGGAGGTCGCAACCAAATGTGTTGTGGCTGCTCAGCTGCAATGCGGCTCAACACGAGTCGCACTCCCTCATCGGTAGACAGATCACATCCATTGTTCAAGTAGCACTGGGTCACTGCGTCCTCCCTTTTTGCCACAGACTGAACAGTGCTGGCCAGTAGATTGTCGGCTTCACACGCACACTCCATGAGACACGGTCTCTGGAAGCCTACAAGGGACTGAAAAAGGTCGGGAACTACAGACCAGGCTTGCCTCTCCAAGGCTCGCGCTTGGCCTGGGGATAGCTGCCTCGTGCTCTGGCTTTTCAGTTGAGCACTCAGCCGCTGAGAAGCACTCATACAGCTGTGCTCCTCCCATGGCTCCTTATCAGAGCCATCTACAATTCGTTCATCGCCTCGCTCAGTACACTGAACGACCCATCGGTGAGGTGGCCCCCTTCGGTCTTCCCCGCGGTCTTGCGTGGTCGCTGGCCCTTCACCTCGGCAAGCTCCTGGCGCATCGACTCCATCGCCTCGGCCATTTCCAGCATCATCTTCACCGCCTGCACGCTGGTAGGGTCGGTGCTGGCTCGGCTCGTTCCGGTGCGGCCTGACACATGGCTTGAGGTGCTCGGGCTCTGCATCTTCATGTAGCCCAGCTCCTTGCGCGTGACTGGTGGGGCCTTCGGAGTGGGCTTCCGGTCCATCTCCAAGAGCCACTTGGCCAGCCGTGCCAATCTGGGGTCCACATGGTCCTCGCCGCTCTCCTGGAACGTAGTTTTCACCCACGCCGCATAGTCCTGGTACTGCGTGGCAATGGCAACATAGCGCTCGTTGGCATGCTTTCCGAAGCCGGCCAGATCGTTGGCCGGACACACCCGGCGGATCTCCTTGGTCGCTTTGTCGATCATCTTCGCCATCACCTCGTTCCCCGTCAGCTCGAGCTTGAGCACCTCGGTGCAGTACTTGGTCAGGTTCGCCTTGAGCTTGCTGGCTCGGCGTAAGTCCTTGAGCATCTTTTCCATGGTAGAGTTGGGGCTCGCCTCCTCGGTCTCCAAAAGGCCTTGCTCCCGGAGTTCTCGGAGTCGTTGATTCAACTCTACCATCGTCCAGCTTTGTGGCGGCGTCTCGCCGTGGTTCAGCAGCTCCATGCGCAAGTCCTCCTTGGTGACCTTCGGCATGCTGCGCTTGGTGTTGTTGATGGCGAGGATAGCTACCGCCTTCTTGCTGGAGCTCACAATCAGCTGCGAAAGTCACTGATCGCGATCGTCTGGTCTGAGAATTCTGGTCTTGCCCTGGTGCTTCAGACTCAAGTGTAGACTGCACACTAGCATCACTACCATGAATTCCTATACAATCACTCCTGAAACCCATCTCGCTATCGGCACTAAAGGTTTGCAGAGTGGTTTTCACCCCGGTTTCCGCTGAATCGTTGACCTTCACTGCTTGCACGGAATCACAAGCAGGAAGGAGCTGTCCCTACACGTTCAGGTAGCTCTTCAAGCTGGGCACTTCACAGGTCGTGGCCACGCCTTTAGCAAGCCAGTCCTCTGTCATGGGTATCAGTTGGTGCCCTGTCTGAGAGCGTTCCACTTGCACAAGTTTCGTACTGTCCAAAGCCCTAAAGCACACCAAGTCCGACTCAAAATCTATAACAGCTTTCAACTTGCGCAACGTGTCAATTGACAGCAACATCGGCCCAGTGCCTCGGTCGAGGCAGTGGACCTTGACTTCTCCGGGCTTCTTGTCTGCACAGATCCGAAGCTGTACAGTTGAACTGCACCTATCCTCAGACCCATTACCAAACCCAAAAACCGGCCTCTCAGTGGTGTCCACTGAGATCAGTCCTGAATGACCACTCTTGAGGTTGTTCAGCTGCATGATCCGCTCCATGGCATTGATAGAAGCCAGAGTTTTCGTGGCTCCTCCGTCGATCACGGCCTTTCCCTGGGAGACCGCGTCCGCCGTGGAGATGCCGCTCATCATTGCGTGCATGTAGTTGTCGTGGTCCTCGGCGCTCTGCTCCACGGTGAGGGCTTGGGGCTGATCGCAGAAGCAGACAAAGGAAGATGTAGCAGCCACTGGTTCGGCACTTTTTGCGGCAGCCGTCGGTGGATCCGGGCAGTTTGCGACGCGGTGGCCTGTTCGGCCGCATCGCAAACACGTCATCTTCTCATCTCGGCCTTTTCCTCCATCGCGGTGCCCTGCGCCAGAGTTGGTGCGAAAGTACTGCCTCGCCAGTCGCACATTGTTCTGTCTTTGTCTCGCTTCCTTCAGCGTCCGCCTGCCCTGAGTGATCGCAGCCAGGGCGGACTGAGCATCTTCTTCCGCTTCCTGCCATTCCTCTTGGTGCTCGGCCTCCATGATCGGGTCGGCCTCCACGGTCTGCGTCTCGTCCTCGTCCAGCTCCTCGTCGTAGAGCTCACCCATGTAGCCCGAGTTCTTCGGATGATATTCCCGACGTTGTCCGTCGAGAACCGCACACTGGTTCCGAAGTTCTTGGGCCACCCGATCGTAGCGGAAGTCGCCTTGGAGGGCCGTCTGAACACTGTTCTTCTCCTGGGCCGTCAAGCCCGAATCATGGAGTAAGTACCACCCCTGGACGTAGTTCGGGAGGAGCTCGGGCATCGCTGGGGCCTCCTCCGCGGGCTCCTTGTTCCAAGTCCAGTGGTGGTTCCACGGACTACCCCACCAAGAGTAGCCCCACTCCTGGCGTCCGTAGTTCCACTGGCCGCGCTGCCAATAACTCCATGATCGGTCCTCGGTGGAGGCGGTCGTCGCCTCCGTCTCCTGTGCCTCGTCCTGGTCCTCGGTCGCTTCCTCGGCAGGCGTGTAGTCGTAGCTGCTCCGCCTGCTGGAGTTCCACGATGGTGCCCAGGACGTAGAAGTCTTGCCTTTAGCCTTGTTGGTCTCGCCGGGCTGGAACGGGCTGACGCGTTGCAACGCCTGGCAAGCCCTCAAGTAGATCTCGCTCTTCCGAGCGATGTAGCTATTGATATCTTCATTGTTGCGTCTTCTTGATCCCTGTACTTGCTCAGGTAGTCAGTCAGGTCGGAGATCTGGGGCCGGCCGAGTGCGGCCCTCAGGTGCTGCATCAAGGTGTGCACGCCTTGGTTGTTCGAAAGCCAATTGGGAGGCTTCCCCGCCACATGCTTCTTGGCAGCACCTTTGAGTGCCGCGGCCAGTTTTGGCCCGCAGAGATATCTCTTCTCGTAGGCTACCGACTGCTCCCAGAGTAAGCTACTCTCCTCATACTCCTGAAAGCTGCCAGCGTCTCCATCCCAACTCGGTGGCCCCTCATGAGCCTTGCTGCCTTCCCCACTGGAGGTCATGTTCTCAGCTGAAGGCCCAAACGTTCAGCTGTCGTAGGTCCCTGGATCTTCACAAGCTCTGAAGCCTCTATGGAGGCTCCGCTACCATGCACGCCTCAATGGGGTGCACGGCAGCTGATAGACTCAATGAGGATCGGGCTCGGAGGCAGTAGACGTAGAGCACAGAAGGCACGGAATGAGCGGTGCGAATGCGGCTCTTTTTCTACACTGGCAACCCCTGCCTGTGATCCAAAGCTTTGCAGACCAACCTGCGTCGAGAAGCACACAAGTGATTCAATCACTTGCAAACCCTACATCCTAAACCCTGAACCTTAAACCCTAAACCCTACATCCTAAACCCTGAACCCTAAACCCTAAATCCTAAACCCTGAACCCTCAACCCTAACCCCTAAATCCTAAACCCCGAACCTTCAACCCTAAACCCCCGAAAGCCTAAACCCTAAACCCCAAACCCCTCAACCCTAAACCCTGAACCCCAAACCCCTCAACCCCTAACCCCGAACCCTCAACCCTAAGCCCCCGAAAGAACCCCGAAGCACTGCCTCGAAGCCTGCTTCGTCGAGTTTAATCTCTTTCCAGAAAGCTTTCACTTCCTGGGTGTAGGGTTTAGGGCCGGGCGAGTTTTGGAGTTTTAGGGTTCAGGGTTATAGGGCCTTGGAGTTTTAGAGGTTTAGGGTTTAGGGCCTTGGGGTTTTAGAGGTTTAGGGTTTAGGGCCTTGGGGCTTTAGAGTTTTAGGGTTTAGGGCTTTGGGGTTTTAGAAGTGTAAGATTTAGGGCCTTGGGGTTTTAGAGGTTTAGGGTTTAGAGCCTTGGGGTTTTAGAGTTTTAGGGTTTAGGGCTTTGGGGTTTTAGAGGTGTAAGGTTTAGGGCTTTGGAGTTTTTAGCGTTTAAGGTCGTGCGGTTTATGGCTTCAGGGTTTTAGGGTTTCGGACAGGCCGTTGAGGTCTCGGACTGCTGGAATCCATCGCCTGCCGGCGGAACTAACACCATCAACCCCAAACACTTGAACCCCCTGGCCCAATAAGCCCTCCCCAGCCCCGAAACCCTAAGCCTATAACCGCTAAACCCTAAAACCTCAACAGTGAGGGGCTCTACAGTAGAAGCCAGAAAGTTGGAATATGATTTTCCTAGACCCTCTATGGTAAATTATAGGGGATCCTACCCTGAAACCATATTCCGACTTTCTGGAGTTACCTTTAAAGTAGACCCTACCCTTAATATAGCTACTATATGGCCCATTATAGCGTAGGGGTCCCCATTAAGGGTTCCAACTTTCTGGAGTTCCCTTTAAGTGACCCTAGTATAGTACCCTAAATAGTAGGATCCTTATTATAAGGACCCCCAAATTCCCTAATCCATATTCCAACTTTCTGGAGTTCCCTCTAAGGTGTGTGCCAGTTCTCCAACCCCTGCACCCGAGAGGCCTCTTCGGCCTGGGGCGGCCTAGGGTTTGGGGTTCCAGCTTTTGGTTAGTAGGGAATGAAAGGGGCCTTAAAAAGGGGTCTGTAAGGGTTACTATAAGGGATCTATAAGGGTACTATAATATGGGTGGCTTAAGATTTGTGGCTGGGGACTCTGGGCTTATATTTCTTTCCCGAAAGCAACAACCCTAACTGCTTTTCTGTCCCCGGTCTTCCCCTGCTCACATTCTCCCACCGTGCAACCCCACCAATACCTCGACAACCTCCCCCCCTCCACCAAAAAACCTGGGCCTACGGTAAAGATTCTATGAGACTGTTCCACAACAATACTAAACCACTCTTCACCCTTTAAGGTCTATAGATGCAGAGTGAAGCTCCTGTAGCATTCCGAATGTTTACCCTCCCAACGCTCCTTGGTGTTTCCTTTGCCCCAGGAACTCGTGTCAATACCTGCCATCAGGCAGGTTTAGGGTTCTTAATTGTGACGCTATAAGGCCATAAGGAGGCTTATACCTTTCCTGAACTTAGAACCCTAGCAAAACTTGTAATTTTAGCTGTTTCTTAGGGATTATAATAACCAAAAAATAACTATTTCAATTTACCCCTAAGATAGGTTGTGAGGAGATAGGATTCGGAGTTTGAGGCCTAGACAACATCTTTAGTGCAGTGCATTTTGGAGCTCCGGGGTGTCCCAACATCCTTGACAATGTAACTTGCAGGCAAGGATTATTCAGGGTTTTCGTGGAAATCAAGGGTGCTAATGCAAAAGTCTATGTACAAGGATCATAATGAGAACCACCCGTTTCGCCAAGAAAGGCGCATACCTGTAAAAAAACCTGGGCAGTGCATAGAAGAAGCTTCATCTTAGAATGATTCGAAAGCTGTGTTGAAACTTCACCGAAAAAGGACCATCTAGAAAGTCCCATGTACGAAGAGTGCACTTAATCAGCTATCGCTTCAAACAAGAAGTAGCTAAAACATACAATTAAAGGCGGCCTAACCCGAGGTTTATGGTTTGAACCAGGAATAAGAAACCTGTCTCAGACTACACATATCTTTATCTCGCAACCGGTAATTCGGTAATTGGTGATTCTGTTCGAATGCATCCCCTGTATAGGCAGCACATGGTAATTTCACATTAAGACGGACGTACATAAGCCCTACATCGGGATACGACCCCTGCGCACCAGGATCCCGAACATCTAAATAAGGTATTCCAATTTCCTTGGCAAGCCTCGATTTTGCAGCACCTCATGCCTCATATACAGAGCCCAAGACTATCGTGGACAAATCAGCCCTTGTCTGCACTGCGATATTGATGCTGATGGTGGGCATAAAGACGCCGAGACGCGACTGACTGCTGACTGTGCAAATGCTGACTAGGGTGCTGCGGCTTCCGACAGCAACGATGCTGGTGTGGTGAGGACAAGGAGGAACAACAACAAAAGTGAAAAGCACAATCACAATATGTTCATGGTGGCTGTAAAAGCCGTCATCATCAGCACCACCACCATCATCGCAAATTTCAAAACATCATCAACTCCATGCTCATCCTCATCCTCCTCATCCTCCTCATCCTATCGTCACAAGCATCAGCATCGCTGCATATGGCTGTTATTGCAGTGATGGTCATCAGGATGCCGTGATTCCACTGCGCCTTCCTTCTGCAAGAGGTTGGAAAGGTCCTGCAAGCCCGAAAGCATTAAGGGGGGAAGCAATGTCGGTTGAGGGTTTCGGGTTTAGGAGTTAAGAACAATTAGGCTTTAGGGTTCAGGGTGGTCGAGGGTTAGCGGCCAAGCGATACAGCGGCCGATAGAGACTTCGTCTTGCCGGATGAGAAGCTGAACCCATCAGCCTCGCTATAGAAACCAAAACCTATGAAACTCGATGGAACTTTAAGTTAGCCGCGACCCCTGAGCCGTACCCCAACATTGCAACCCTAAGCCACTTATCCTTATGACCCTTATGGAACCATCCAGCTTTATGGAACCCTTACAAACACCTCTACAAAACTATTGTCAGTTCAAGACCTCATACGCCCCAAGAAACCCTGGTAAACCCTATGAGAGAACAAAATGAAGGCCCTAGACCCTAAACCCTAAGCCTGAAACCTAAGCCCCGAAACAGGTACAATAATGGCCCTATTCCCATAAAAGGCGAATATGTTGCATACTTTCGGGGTCCAGGTAAGACCCAACTTCTTGATCGGACCCTGGAGTGCGGGTCCTCAACGGATGGCACCTGCTCCAAGGAGAAAACCTGCGAGGAAGGGGGGGTCTGGTCCTGTCTCGTTTAGGGATGTAGGGTTTAGGGATATGTGGTTTTAGGGTTTAGGCATAGAGTTTCTGGTTTAGGGGTGATATTCGGTTTATGGATTCAAGGTTTACAAATCGGGTTTAGGGAAATCGGGGGCTTGGGCAAGGACTGGGCAGGAACTGGGGACGGCAAGGCTCCAGGGTCCTACGGTCTGGAAGTAGAAGTTGCCTGGCTTCATACCACCACGAAGGCTTCGTCACTCCAACACAGAACATGCCAATCAGGGTCCGTAACAGATGGACTCATGAAACTTTCTTCCCAGCCCGAAGACTGAATATGGCCACCTTGGTTATTCGAATAGGGCTTGGGGAGTGTGTCACAATATGTCTATTTTCTATTTCAGGAACCGCAAGGAATTTGAAACTAGTCCGCCTTTCACTATGGGACTCTAAACCGTGCGCCGAGAAAGTAGGCTCCTAACCCTTCCAACGGTTCCTAAGGTCCAGGGGCACCCTAAACCTAAACCCTAAACTCTAAACCCTTAAACTGAACCTGAGCCCGAAAACCTTAACTCTAAACCAAACTCTAACCCCAAATCCCGAAACCCTGTACCCTAGTCAGCCTAGTCCTGAAACCCAAGAACTTCACCCAACCTTATAAACCCTGAACCCAAAATCCCTTAACCCTGTACCTTAGTCCAGAACCCAAGGCCTTCAACAAACCTTATAAGCCCTAAACCCAAAAG